CATCCATCCATCCATCCATCCATCCATCCACCCATCCATCCATCCATCCATCCACCCATCCATCCACCCATCCGTCCATCTATCCATCCATCTCTAATTATAGGAGAGGAATCTGAGGTTCAGAGTCATTAAGCAGCTTCTCTAGACACCATGGCGAGTGAGGCTGTGGAGCTGGAATTTGAACATATGCCTGGTCACTCTAAGGTCTATGCTCTCTTTGTGCCAGTAGTGTTTCCACAAAGTCATGGTGGCCAACCTTGGAGGGCTGTCCTCACGGAGCTGATTCCAGACCCTGTGATAAGCAAGGAGGTCAGTGGACATAGGCCAAGGAGAGGTGTGTCTTATGCTGGTCATGGCCTCCCGAGGGCACTGCTGGAGACAGGGGGGACCTCAGGGGAAGTCACTCATGAGGCTGCATCTGCTGCTTAGTCATTTCCAGGGTCAACGTGTTGTCACATTCTCTGGTTGGGGCACATTTGAGAGTTGGGTATAACTTATTATCTGAAGCACTTACCTTCTTCAGTTCACCTGTATTGTTCATAAAGTCCCACATCAACCCCTTCTAAGGCTGTGCTGAGTGCACAGGTCAACAAACTACTTAGGATGGGTAGTGGGTGGCACTGCTGCGTTTGGAGGGACTGAATTGCTCCCTGGCCTGGTGGGAGGAATGTTGGCTGGTGGAACACATCCATAGTGGAAAAAAGTTGGCTGAATTTTACAATTTTCCCTAAGGGAATAAATATCTAAATGTGTTAAAAATTTGGCAGATGAGATGCTCTCAAATATAAGCCCACCCCAGAAAAGAGCTAAAAATACATGCATTAAAAATATCGTGCAGTTTGCATAAACTGAATTCTATCAAGGAAGGAGGACGACCCTATGCAGTGGTGGGAATTTCTAAATGTGGGTGTCTGCYGTGGTGCAGAGAAGCCTGGCTCACCCAAGGATCTGATGCTGTGGCTGGCTTGCCCTCAGGCAGCATCCTCTCCAGGAAGGGGAGGTGTGGCCAGCTCACGTGGGGCTGGGGGGGGCCCATGCTCTTTGTGCTTGTGCTGTGACTCCTGTTCTTGTGAGGCCATCTTAGCTCCACTTTCCCCTCACCTAGTAGAATGTCTAATACAAATTAAGGAGCTTGGTTTCAAAGCCCTCCCAACTCTGCTAGCACTAGAACACAAGACTTCTTTGTGGTTGCTCCCCGCCACATTGCCCAGTGTTCTGGTCTGGATGTGCTCTGACCCACCAAGGGTCATGTGCTGGAAGCTCGGTCATCAGTGGGGTATTGTGAGTTGGTGGAACCTCAAGAGGTGGGGCCTAGCGGGAGACAAGTGGGTCTTGGAGGCAGTRCCTTGGAGGAGATTAATGCTGGTCTTCCAGACTAAATTTGTGTGGTTGAGAATGGGGCTTTATAAAATGAAGCCACCCCATGGGCTGGGCCTCATTTGGATGCAGTCATTTTCCCTTTGTGCTTCTCTGCCAGGTTGTAATGCAACCGAGGGGATCTCACCAGAGGCTGGAACAGATGGGGCCTCCTGCTCTCAGACTTTCAACTTCCCAAACTGGGATTTAAATAAACCTCTTTTCTTTATACACGACTCAGACTCAGGTATTTTGTTATAACTACAGAAAACAGACTCATACAGCCAGCAAAMGGGATTTATTTTGAACACAAGGGAAATATCTGCCCATAAAAGATCTTCAAACTTTTCCATACTGGGAAATATGAAGAGTCAGAGTATTAACAAAGGAGGCCACATGGTAATCTCAGTGGTTTGCAAATGGTGGTCCCAGCAGCATCAGCATCACTCCCTGGGAGCTTGTTCAAAGGGCAAATTATCGGGCCTATTGAATTAGAAACTCTGGGGTTGGGGCTCAGCAATCAGTGTTTTAACATCCCTTAGGGGAATTCAAATTCCCAAATTTGAGAACCAAATTGGCAGAGAAGAGGGAAAAATGGAATGAGGCAGAAAAATCAGGTTGAGTCTTTGCCTCTTTCTAGCTGAGTGACTGAAGTCAAAACTTATCCTCCTTAAATCTCAATTTCCTCATCTCTGTGGGCACTATTACCTGACAGTGGGACTGAGGACACACGGACACATGGACACACACACACACACACACACACACACACACAGACTCAAGATGCTGGTTTTGTTACAAGCAAAACACAAATCCCTTTGCTTCTAGTTTACAACAAAAGCCCACTGCCGGCCACATACATAAAGTTAAATAAGGCTCTTCTCTTTATAAGCATGGGATAGACTGGTAGAAACTCAACAGGACTTTCAGAGAATACAAGTGGACAACCCTTACAATGGTGCCTGTGACCCWCGGACCCCAGACGTGAACCCCGGGGCCACCAACTTTATTCTACAGGATTAGTTGTTTCTTCTAGGAGTCCTTAAGCTCTGAATTTGCTGATCTGTAAGTGGGGTTCCAGGTAGTCACAGGGCAGAGCAGAGCTGGCTCCTCCCCCTGGGTCACGGGGGATGCCCTGTCCCCCATCAGACTTGGCCATGCCTCCAGAGCTGCTGCCCTGTTCTCCGCCCTCAAGTCCTTGGCCTCCTCTCGGAGGTCCACAGGAACTCATCTCCTCCCCTGTGAGGCTCCCGAGGCCCCACTGGTGGCTGAGACACAGAAGTTTCGAGGGCTCAGCAGAGGGGAGCTGACCCTCAACAAACTCCAGAACATTCCTCCCAGTCCAACTGTTCAGGCGAAAAGTGGAGAGGTCACTCTGTCCAGGAAAGCTCCTAAAATGAAGGCCTTCCACTTGGAAATGGCTGGCCCTGCCCACCTGAGGATCCAATCATGGACCCCGTCTACAAGGGCGTCTCGGAACCACCGGACTGGAGCCCTCAAGAGGAGAAGCTCCACATAGAGACAGACTCACTCGGTAACGGAGTCCCTGTAAGCATGGCATTTGATTCTGTTTTGCAGGCTCACTGGGGTGTGATAGTGATTTTTAGGGGGGGAAGAGCTCTCTGGCGGATATTTTAAAAATGCTGCGTCGTATTAGAATTTGACGGACAGCCCAACTGTCCCCTCCCCTTGCTGCCCTGCTCAGGAACAAGGAGGGCATGGAGCTGTGACCACCGGACTCAGCTCTGGGAGGGCTCCCCTGTGGTCACAGCTGTGGTGCTCAGGTTCCTCCCGGGTGCGGGCAGGGGGTTCAGCACATTCACCAGAACCTCTGGGCCTGCAGGCTTCACCCTGAGATGGACGTCCGGCAGTGCTGGGGAGAGGCTACACTGGACTGGCTCCCTCCATGCAGGACGCCATCTTAGCCCATCAGTTCTAATTGGCATAAGGGCCCAGAATATTCTTCAGAAGGTGTCCCTTGGGACAGTTGTGGCTTGTCCCTACGTCTAGATAGCAGGCAGTCTCTGGAACCCTCTGTAGCCACATCCTGAGGCACCCAGGACTCCTGGCCACACCAGGGTGCTTTTTCATTGCCAAGAGTGTGGGATTCCAGGGAAGGCGGGTGTGGAATTCACTGGTTCTGCTGACGAGCTTCTCTGTACCCTGGGAACTAAAGACTAATCTTACACTCTCGAATGCAAAATCAGAGTCCTAGTGCCTCCCGACAGGTCTCCCTAAGAGCTAGAGACAGTCTGCTCACTGCGCTGACAGAATTTTGCAGTACTTTCTATAAGAAAAGTGGTTGCTTTCCACAGAAGGAGGCGGCATTCCCAGACATTTTGTTTCTGTTTTCCTTTATGCTCAGGCAGGTACATTGGCATGTGTGCAATGGCGAGCCACGCTGGTGACCTCGTCTAGTGCTCATGACCTGATTTATTTATTTGTTGGCTTCTTTGCTTTTAGTAAAGACCAGAACTTCAGGGAGGCCGATTAGCTGTTAGCAATGTGTCAGGAGGAAGCAGGGCCATTGCATTCACCAGGGGGTCACACACAACACCAGATGTCTTCCAGAATGATTGCAGTTGGATGGAAAATTGAGGGTGAGAGGCTAACTCCTCTGCTGATGGTCATATCTCCTGCTGATGTCTGATTAGAGGAAAAAATGACTTAAGGTCAAGGAGACAGCCTGGTGTCCTTCTCTCCCACCCAGATGGTTCTGCTCAGGAAGGACATCTGCACCTGCTTGAAGGGGGAGATGCTACCCTGCAGGGTGCTGGGATGCTGTTCCAAACCTACACATTTCCCTTCCATGCTTCCTTTATCTGGTTACTGGTACATGGCTTTCAGGTTTTTCTTCTTAACTCAACTTTCCTGAAGTGTGGCAGGAACATAAGACACAAGCAGAAACGGTTCCTGTTGACAGTTCTTAAGAGCAACCAGCTATGGGGGGTTGGTCTTGCTGTGAGGCCCACCAAGGGAGGGAGAGAGAGGTTGTCAATCAAATACGAGGCACAAGCTTTGCCCCTTTGCTTTCATAGTTCCTGCAGAACCCCAGAAAAAAATGAATGTTTCAATGAATGTTTGCTGAAAAAAAACCAAACACCTACAGATTCATATTAGTTCAGGGTCTATGATTCAGAGCTCCTAAAACAAGGAATGTTCACACAAATCACTGGGGCATCTTATTARAATGCGGCTCTCCTGCAGAAGATCTGGAATGGGTTAAGGCACCAGAGAAGACCCTGTTCTGCACTTGTAATGAGCTCCCAGGTGATACAGATTATGCTGTTCCTCAACTAGACTTTGCTCAGCAAGGCATGTTCAGTGCTTTCTATTTGGTTATTTAGATTGAACTTGATGTTTCTGTGTTATTGGTAACTAGCATGTGTAATGAATGTTTTCTTCCTAATAGAGTTGGCTCTGTTACAGGAGCTATTCAATTCCTGCCCAGAAATTAGGCAGTTTCTGTTTAGCCAATGACACCTTACACTTATCTACTGGGGACTTTCTTTTAGCTTTATACCTATATTAGTCTGGTGTCTGTTACTGTAATGAAACACCTGAAGCTGGGTAATGTTACAAAGAAAAGAGGTTCATTTATCTCACAGTTCTGGAGGCTCAGGGGCATGTTGTTGGTACTGGCCTGGCTCTGGTGAGGACCACATGGTGGATAGTATGACAATGGTTGGAGAACATGTGTGAGAGGGATCACGTGAAGAAACAGGAAGCCCAAGGAGGAGATGGCTTTGTTTAAAACAACTTGCTCTTGAGAGAACTAACTTCAGATCCCATGAGAACCACCTTCATCACTTCTGAGGGTCTCAATGACCTTCCATTAGGCTCCACCTCTTAAGGCCCCACCACCTCAATGCCGCCATCCAGAGGACCCAGCCTCCTACACAGGAACCCTGGGGACAAACCACATCCAAGCCCAGCAGCACCACGGTGGAGAACTTGCTTTGCCAGCAGGTCAGGAAGAGCTCCCATGAAATCCCAAGTAGTTTTAGGATCTGAGGCTGTTCTGAGCACTCCGCTGGCCACCCACCTGTCTGCTGTGGCAGGTGTGAGAGAGGACACCAGGGGACATCGCTCCTGGTCTCTGATGATGTGAGGTGAAAGTTAAAGTCTTAAAGATCCCAGGTGACTTCCCATGAGTTGAATGGAAAAACCGCACAGAAAGGTGCGGCCTTTACTCACCTGGTTGTGTTTGATGTCCTCGGCGGGCGCACCGTACGAATTCCTATACAAGGTGGAAATCCCAGTGTTTTGAGCTACAAACAAAAGGAAAACGAAAGTGTTAGCAAAGAAAGCAGGATTTCAAGCGAGGAATGATGGCTCTCGAGGCCAGTTTCACCCTGACAGAGCCGGGCGTCCTGAGAACCCTTCCAAGTAGGAGAGATGCTTTGAGCCTGGACCTCGTTTTACATGGAGAGATGCAGAAAGACAGCAGAGGTGCTGTCCTCACCCTGGGCCCGTCGGCCGCTGGCAACACTGCTCACCGCACAGACAGGGTCAGCGCAGGTGCCGCAGACACGTGGCCACCTCGAGAGCTTTATCGCCTTCTTTTCTGGTGAGAACAGGTAGATAATAGAGGCTCGTCACCTGCCCTGGAGCATGCAGTCTGTATCAGCAGCTTAGTCTTTAGCTGAAGAATGACAAGAATAACATTTCTAACTTGAGCTCACAGAAGTGCTCGGTCATCATCCAGATAGTTCATTTCTCCACAGCCCAAAGGACCAATTGACGGTGCCACCTGAATGTCCCCTGTGCATCTGGGGGGCTGTGGCTTTGAATCCTGCTAGGTGCAGAGATAGGGTCCCCCCTGGCTTCTCACCCACTTGTGGTGTGGCCAAAAGGAAGGAGGAAGACCCCCTCCAGCTGCCAGCAGCTTCCACAGGCCGACAGTGGGTGACAGTGCCTCTCCTTACCCAGAACCCTGAGGCGCAGGCCACAGGCCTCCAGGAGGGGCTYAGGCACTACCATCAGGGTACAGCTGATGAAGGATCACGGTGGAAGAAAGCTCAACAAAGTCCGTCTGTCAAGTGTCAGTGGGACATAGAATACTCTGGAAATAAGAAGGGCTTGGCCTTTGTTTCCAGGGTCCAAGGGATAATGAAATCCATCGCACGGCACCTGCTCTCTCAGAGACCAGGCTGCTGTAGGTAGGCCCAGCCCTGCWCAGCCTATCCAGGTTCAAGTTCATTGTCACCCGTGATGGTTACCCACAGGCACACGGTAACTGTGCAGTAACCTCCTCTTGGAAAATTCTGCTTAGGMAGCGGGGGTGAGAGCACAACTTCAACTTCAAAGACAACTCTGCTGTCCTCTCTGGGTGAATGCACATCACTCCTCTCTCCCTGGACACTAAATCCCCTGATGGCCCAGCTTCCTGTCCCCCAGTCTGCTCCTCCCAGCCCCCAGGGAGAGCACTGTCAGGCAGATTGATTACGTCACTCCCTCTGCTCATCCATACCCAGTGCTCTCCACTCGAGACGCTCTCCTTCCTGGTCCACGAGGTTCCGCGTGATCTTCCCCAGCTGACCTCCCGCGGCATCTCTYCCTTCTCTAGTACCGCGGCCCTGGCTGCCCAGCCCTCCTATCTCAGTGGAGTGAGCCCAGCTTGTTCAGCTTCGGGGAGACGGTACTCCATCTTCCTCTAGGAATTACCTCCCCCAGACTCCAGCTGCCTCTTGCTATTTAGGTTGCCCAGGGCAGGTAAGGACCCTCCCACCTGGCGTCCCTGTCTCTCTGCTCCAGTGAGGGAGTCCCTTCATGCCTCTCAACATCTGCAGTGATCCTGCTGGTGGGTGTCCCCTGATGACCTCGCACATTGCCTGCCTGTGCCCACCAGCGCAGAAGCCCACGTGGGGGAGAGAGACAGTAGGTGTCCTCACCATTGTCCATGCCCCCGGAGCCTGGCACAGCGTGTGGCCTCAGGGGACACTCCCAGAGTAAGGGCTCAATCTGCTGAATGGATGAAGGGAGGCACAAACCTCGGGACAGCGCCGTCAGAGCTCTGATTCCCGACAGAAAACGTCCCTCCAAACTGACACTGAGACGCCTGGGCGGGGCAGAGGGGAGGACAAAGCCTCTGTCCTGGTCRAGCCGCGGCCTCCCTTCCTACTAGATTTGTGGTTTCTGAGTGAAAGCTATCCCTCCTGGAAGTTCTGCCCCACTCTTGCCCACTCCCTGTTGAGACGGGACTGTGTGGCTGAAAGGCCCTCAGGAAGCAGAGGTCTCCAGGAGGCCTGCCCTGGTGTGTCTGGACTGAGTGGACTCACAGGGACATGCTGGGCTAGTTCACAGAGGAAGTGGCCCCAGAAGCTCATCTCCACCACCTGCACCCGTGCAAGGAYGTTCAGAGGTGAAATGCAGGGTTAGGAGAGCCCGAACCTGATCACACATGAACCCCCTCACGGGGATTAACTGGGAAGGGACTAGGAGGTATGGGGCGGGGGCTGGAGGAGATGAGTCCCCGGGGCAGGCTTTGGGGTTTCTATTTTGTCCCTGGTGAGCAGAGCTG